CAGGACCAAAGCTCAATGCTGAAGGTGATCTGCAACCAGCGTGACCGATTTAGGGCACGTTTGCGAGAAACAGAAGAAGTATGCTTTTTACCTTTCTGAACATATTCGCATTTTTATTTATTCAATGGAATTATTTTTATATGCATTGTTAAGATTATGGTTTCCACAAATTAACATTGTTGAATGTTCCATATTTTATAGGAAATAAGGCAATTAAAGGAGAAGATAGGGGAGTTAACAGCGGAACTGGAGAAAACAAATGCTGATAATGTTAAACTTTATGGAAAGATTCGTTATGTCCAGGACTATAACCAGGAGAAAGTAATTTCTAGAGGATCAAAAAAGGTACCTCTTTTTAGTATTTTTTGTAAATCTCATGTAGTGCCTTTAGCTTCTTGGAGCTCAGTTTTGGTATTTGATTAATTTTCAGTACGCGGAGGATCTGGAAAGTGGTTTCACCTCAGATGTTGAATCCAAGTACAAGAAGATATATGAGGATGATATTAATCCCTTTGCTGCATTCTCAAAAAAGGTTGGTAAACTTGTGTTCCTTTCATGAATAAATTGTTCTGTTACATTCAGATATATCTAGTGATCTGGTTTGATTTTGAATGATTTTGAACTTAGGCCAGCAGAGTTCCTTTCTCTTCTTTCATTAGAATATTTTAGAAGAAAAGACAGTGGCTCTTCACAGGCCCCTGGTTTTGTTTGCCTTTAAATGATCTCTGTAAGCTTTAAACTTTCTTACTCACATAACTTCTTTAAGCATAATTTAAATTTTGTATCAGTGCTATGTGTTACATTATATATGCAATAATTTTTGGCATGTATGTCTTCAAGTTCACAGTCAAAGACTTATAGACGACTTTGGTTTCTTTCAAGCTCAAGTATTCCTTTACCTCTGTGAATGTCAGGATAGATTCAGGATAAATATTTATATACACCCCTGTACATTTCTGTAAGAAGTATGTTTATCAGGCAAATAGAATGAAGAATAATTGCCCTTGTAAAGCTTATCTTAATCAGAGACAAAGTTGGAACAGCCGAGACATGCGTACTCACAGTTTTCTACCACCCATGCCAACTCACAACATGGGAATATTGAAATTCAGTTAACATTACATCCACAGGCGTCCAATTCATCTCATGTTTTTTTTTATGCTGTGGATATCTTGGAGTAATCTGTTTTATTTACTACATAGGAGAGGGATCAAAGATACAAGGAGTTGGGCTTCAGAGACAGAATCACACTAAGCAGCGGACGTTTTCTTCTGGGCAACAAGTATGGTTTTATTTCATTGTCGAATTCCATATAAAATCTAGTACTCTTTATTTTCCCTATATGGTGTGATAGCACTGAGATGTTGGCCTTCATTTATATTGAATGCACTTACCATCATAAAACTGAGGCTGAAACAATTTCCCTCAGCAATTTCATGCGACTTCTTCCATTTGTGTTTCTATAGAGTTGGCTGATTAGCTAACAAATTGCCTCCTTTGCAGGTATGCTCGAACATTTGCATTTTTCTACACAATTGGTTTGCATATCCTAGTTTTTACATGTCTATACCGAATGTCAGCTCTAAGCTACCTCAGGTGATCATTTTGCCCTAATCTTTCGATAACTCTTCCTGCTTCCCCTTTCTAATTATCTGACACCACGAATATTTTTGCTAATGCAGCAATGGCCCTGAGGAAACCCTCGTCGGAGAAAAAAATCTGAACCTCCCACGCGGGTTTTAGGTATCATCTACCCATCGTGTTCATTTACTTCGTCCTTCCTTGGAGGAATATGGCACTGAAATTATGTATAGAAATGTCATAAACTGTACATGTAGCAGAATGATGTCATGTCGGAAATTGTTATAAGTCCACAATGAAAAGGTTGCAATTTTTTTCCCCTTTACTATCTGTGTATCAACCTAAACAGCCCTGAGGAATTTAGGTTGGAAAATTTTACGGTGAAATGAAGAAAGCCCAGTGGAAGTTTTTCTTTTCTTTCTTTTTTTTTTAAAGGAAAAAAAATTATTATATTCTAATTAATCTAGGGAAACATATCATGACGTATCGTTCATCAACAAATTCCGAGTTTTAACTGATGGAATATCATAAAATAAATAGTCATTCGTTATAGAAAAGCCCTTATTACTCATGAAATCAGTTAATATATTTCCTTTTCTGTAAATATGACACATATTAACTTCTCATTAACACCGAAGTAGTTGTTGAATGACTTTAAATTAGATAAGAGCTAGAGCGTGGATGAACCAGGGTTCAAGTAACGGCCAGCACAACTAGCTTATTGTCCACTTACAAGTCAATCTTCCGATAGCACAATCGCTATGCTAAACACAAACCACGGTAAGCTCCCACAACTCAACCCGACGTATACTGCTGAATATATATTCCCTAATCTACCGAAGCACATAACTCTAAATATGCTACACATAAACATCTTCAAATGTGTCAAGGCATGTCTTTTATTCATAGGTCTTTTTTTTTTTCTTTAAATTTTTAAATATATTTATTTTAAATATTTGGGCTCAAGTTAAAGATTTAGTTCGATAAAATGAGCCGAATGGAGCCCGAGGGCCTAATTAACCCCTCAGTTAGGTGTCTTAGGTCGGGCCTATGGAAAATCTCACTTTTCTAAAGTCAAGCTCGAGCTCGGTCCAATTTATTTATTTAATTATTATTGTATTATTAAAATAATAAAAAATCCTTTTTTATATTGATATTTTAAATTTTAAATTTAATAAAATATATTAACAATGTAAGTTAATCACATCAAGTAAAACCGAACTTCAGTCTGACCCTATAAAAATCATACTTATTATGGCCTATGAACACCTCTACTCGTAAGCAAACGTGACCCGTATTTGATATGGTCTCGCTGCACCATGGGCAGCCCTACCAAACGGGTCTCAAGTCAATAAGTGTTTTTGCAAAAAAAAAATATAATAAAAATAAATTCATATTAAAATTTTTAAACAAGAAAAGATATACGTTTATTATTCAATTAAGAAATTAATTCATGCATTACATGTGATTGGAAAAAGAGTAGCAGTTATATTCCACTCCCTATCTTCCTTATCATTTCATCTTTGTTTTTTCTGGTTCTACGGGGAGGGGTCATTAATGGTGGTAAATTAAGTAGGCGAGGATAGGAAAGACAGATGCGGTTTAAATGAGTTGGGTTCCTACTTTATACTACCTTATATGCCCTTTGATGGTTCATTTTAAGATCAACATTGTTGTACTCATAAGTCACACCAACCCCATTCATTTATGTCACTCTTTAACGGACGGGTAATTTAGGAATACAATAATTTTTTTTTACATGCATAAATACTTCGTATTACAATATCACCATAAAACTTATACAGATATATATACAATATATACTATATATATGTTAAAGGAAAAACTTTTTTATGTAAAAAATAAAATTTTACAATCTGATCATTCAAGAGGTAGGTGGATTGTCAAAAAAAATAAATTCTTTATTTGTAAAAAAACTTTCATTAGCCATAAAATCAGCAAACACATTTTCTTTCCTGAATATGAATTTTTCATTAACAATGAAATAGACTCAAAATAGCTTGAATTACATCCCAATTGGAACATGGATGAATTAACGAGGAAGTAATGTCCTTTGTCACACGGTTTAATGTGTCAACTTGAAGATCAATCTTTTCATAACCCAAGTCCCAAATTAGCCTAAATCTCTGATATACTCTCCAAAGTTTTGCTAGGTATGTCGTGCACTTCCCAAGTCAGAGTGCAAATCCACCTTACCATTCACCTGTAGAATTTTGAAGAACTCCACCTACAGTCACAAGTTTAACATATCAACGATACGTGCCATTTTAGTTCAAAGAAAGCCATCTCGAAGAAAGAGCAAACCAACCATTAAGCATTTCCTCTCTTCAATTTGCAAGGGAGCCCTTACCCTCTAGATTATATGAACAAGAACTGTGGATAGTTGAAGCAAAAGTATGGATGAAATTAAGACGATATTCGGTGTTGACAACCGTACCTTCTATAAATGAAGTAGTTTCGTCATTTGAAAAGAAACCAGTATATAACTTCAAACACAATAATCCACGAAATACCATTCATCTCCACTTTAAGTCTATTAAAATTAAATGCTTAGAGAAGGAGTTCTTAATAATGGGTATAGAAACGATACCTATAAAAGTTTCCATTTATTAACCTATTTAATAATGGATTAAAATATATTAATTCGTTTACAACTCATATGCCAGTTTCATAATAATTGATATACTTAGGTAGATGAATAGACGAATATGTATTTAATATGTAGCATCAAACTTAAGACATTTCGCAACTCCCATCCCACTTTTATCACTTGTATTCCCTATTTCTTTAAATTGAAACCACTTTTATCCAATTTATCTCTTTATTTAAAATTTAGGGTAGTTAAAAGTTGTACTAATTTAAATTGTAGGATTATAGGTGTAGCATTCCATTTTTAAATGATTACTTTTATTCCTAAATTAAATTATAGGATTATAGGTATAGCATTTCATTTTTAAATGATTACTTTTATTTTTAATTTCTCAAGTATTAAAGTTTTACGTAATTATTAAAAAAATATATAAATAGACTCTTATAAAACTTGTGATGCTAAGGTAATATTAATCAAGCTATTATATCAGTAATACAAAATGACATAATATAATGATATAATAATATAATAATTTAACTCTCATCAAGTATAAAAATGATTATTATCATTTTAATTTATAATAATTAATTAATTATTAATTATAAAAAATTATTTAATTTAATATAAAAATATAAAATTTAATTGAAAGAATAAATATAATAAAAAATCATGAAATTAAATTAAAAATTTTCAAATTTCAAAAGCAAAAAACAAAAGAACCAAAAGAGCAAGCACAAAACCCTAGTGGTAGTGGATGTCGTTATCGGGAAACAAAGCATAAATTGGCAGTGAATAAGATCCCTACTTGTTCGTACCCTTTTTGGTTTTGATTGATGAAGAAGATAAAAGCAAAAGGCAGCCGGAATCAGGATGAAACCTCCTCCTCCTCGGCTCACCTATCTGCTTTTAAAATCACCCCAACAAGCTTGATGTGACCCTTCCTTTCTCCCTTTCTCTCCAACATATAAGCCAACTGTGCTCTGCTCTTCTCTTTCACTGCTCCCCCCCCAAAAGAAATGGCTTCTTCTTCAAAGCTCCCCGTTTCCTTCCTCTTCTTCTTCTTTTTCCTTTCGTTTCTCGTTACTGCCACCCTCTCTCGTCACTCTCCGCAAGCAACGACGACGCTCGATGTCTCTGCTTCTCTTAAACAAGCTCAGCATATTCTCTCCTTCGATCCACAGTCTTTAACATCCTTCGTTCAAGCCCAGAGTGCAGCTCCTTTCTTCAACTCTTCTTCTTCTTCTTCGTCTGTTTTCTCTATTCCACTTCACTCTCGGGGTTCTCTCCGCAAAACCCACCACACCGACTACAAAAACCTTGTGCGTTCTCGACTCGACCGTGACTCATCCCGGGTCGACTCGCTCACTACCAAACTCCAACTTGCCCTCAATGGTGTCAAAAAATCCGAGCTCCGACCGGTACCGACGGAGATCCGACCCGAGGCGCTTTCAACCCCGGTCATTTCGGGGACGAGCCAAGGTAGCGGCGAGTACTTTTCCCGGATCGGAGTCGGTAACCCGAGTAAACAATTCTACATGGTTCTCGATACCGGAAGTGATATAAATTGGATCCAATGTGAACCTTGTTCGGACTGTTACCAACAATCCGACCCGATATTTAACCCGTCGGGATCCTCCACTTACAGCCCGGTTTCTTGCGAGTCAAAGCAGTGTTCTTCTCTTGAAGTTTCCGCTTGCCGTAGCGAGAAATGTTTGTACCAAGTCTCGTACGGAGATGGGTCTTTCACGGTCGGTGAGTTCGTCACCGAAACCGTGTCATTTGGAAACTCCGGTAGCATTAATGGCGTTGCTTTGGGTTGTGGCCATGATAATGAAGGGTTGTTCGTTGGAGCTGCGGGGTTGCTTGGACTCGGCGGTGGACCCTTGTCCTTAACATCTCAGATCAAAGCGACGTCGTTCTCATACTGTTTAGTAAATCGTGACTCGGCCGCGTCTTCGACTTTGGATTTCAACTCGGGATTACCAAGTGACTCGGTCACCGCTCCATTACTGAGGAACCGAAAGATCGATACATTTTATTACGTTGGTCTGACCGGGTTCAGCGTTGGTGGCCAACCGGTTCAACTCCCACCGGGCCTTTTCGATATGGACGCATCAGGTAACGGAGGAGTCATCGTAGACTGCGGCACCGCCGTAACTCGGCTGCAAACCCAGGCTTACAACGCCCTGCGGGACGCGTTCGTCAAATTAACTCACGACTTGCCAACCGCGAGTGGGGTGGCGTTGTTCGATACGTGTTACGATCTGTCTTCGAGGACCAGCGTCAGGGTCCCGACGGTGGCATTTCATTTCGGCGGCGGACAGTCGCTGGATTTACCCGCGAAAAACTATTTGATCCCGGTGGACTCATCCGGGGTATTCTGCTTCGCGTTCGCTCCTACGTCGTCGTCTTTGTCCATCATTGGGAACGTGCAGCAGCAAGGGACACGTGTCAGCTTCGATCTGGCTAATAACAAGGTCGGGTTCTCTCCTCGTAAATGTTAGGACGGTAATTAAATTAATTACCGCTCTTCAGAGGATTTTTTAGGTTAATTTATAGTTTTTAGTGTTAGTGTAGGGTGGGCCAGTTGAAAAGATTGGTTCCCACTCGAATAAATTCCAAAGAAAAGAAGTTTGGGATGGTGACGGTGTGGGGCAATTAATTAAATTATTTTAAAGCTTTTGAAAAAAATCTGTGTGTGTTTTTCAGTTGAGTAGTGCAGTGGCATTGCCAAGTAAATTAGTTGAAACTCAATGGCAACTTATCTTTTATGGATCATCTACGTTACAAAAACGCTTGCATGTGTGACACGTGGATGACGAAATTGCTGACCGTGATTTCGATTTAAGTGACTGGAGCGGGGAGCCAAGCGAGATTCGCCTGCTCACTAAATTTCAGGGACGATGGTTGGTTGGGTTGGTTTGGTTTGGTTTTTGCCTTTTATGGATGTGCTTTTTGTTTTCGTTTGCTACTGGCGAGTGAGGTACACGCTTGTGTACGGGGAGTGGTGAAGAAGAGGGGAAACAGATCACACTGAAGCGTGGGACCCGCGATGAAAGTGGATTGGTCGTCTTCTCAGACAGGAAGCTTAGGCTTTAAATGTGATGTATGTACCACTGACGTCCCACCTCGAGCTCCAGTGGAGGTGGTGCGGTGGATGTGGGGACCAGTTCCGTAATTGTCGGCGAGCGTTTTTAATTTTTCTGTCGTGGTTCCGTTGGATGACACGTGCCCAGAATGGCAGTAGCAGTGCTTTGCTTTGGTCCCACCTTATCAACGATATCTGTTTTGTTTCCCGCCAATCCCCACCCAAATTGGCTTCCTCTAATTTTGTCCTTCAAGGATACTTTTGGTAATGCATTTCTTATTAAAAAAATAATCAAATTTAACTAATATACTTTGGGCAATAAATAAATTAAAAATAATACCTATGTCATTTAATAAAATATTTGGGTATAAATTATTAAATCTTATAATATACTCTTAAATATTATTCATTTCGAACTTCTATCTAGTTTGCCCCTTTATATTTGTCTTTAATTGATTTTTATTATTAAAGATAGTAATTTTGATCATTATTTTTAAAAGTATCTTGTAAGATTAAAATTTTTTAAACATATGTTTGGTAAGGGTTTAAATTTAAAATTTTCAAATCTAATGAACATAATAATTGATGTTAATTAAGGTTTATTAGGTCCAAGGGAATACCATATTAACTATCTTTTAGTGATAACAATTACAATTATAATTCTTACATGGGTAAATAATCTTATAAACTTATTTGGTCTCAAATTTATTATCTCGATTGCACTCAAGCATTTAGTTTATGAATTTGTGTATTATCCTTTTACTTAAAAAATAAAATTTGAATCCCTTCTTCTCCAATTATAAAAAAGATATTATCTCAATTTGAGTTTCATAAAGTTTTATTTTTGTGAATTTTATATTAAAAATTTTAATCACAAATGTAAATAATTACTTGCCAAAAATCATTATGGGTTTTTGCTTGAATATTCAAAGTAAATTAATTAGATTCAATCTATTTTATTTTTAGCTTGGACGCACTTTTTTCCCCTATATAAATATTCTGTTTTATGTAGATTATGTTACACAATAAAATATCAAAGTACGTAAATAAATTCAAAAACAAAATTGATAAAGGTCCAACATCTAAGTATAAATTATCTTATATTTAAATTTTATCCATGTTTTATCTCGATATTGGTGCTAAACATAGTCTAAAGAAAGAAGTTTCTAAAATTAGCTTGGTGGGGATGTTGATGTTGCCATATATAAATCAAAGATGGGAGATAAAGGGTTGGAAAGCATGAATTTGGACTACAGTTAATGGTGGTGGGATCAAAGGGTAGGTTTTGCCTCTCTGTTTGTCACGTGACAGGAAAGGAAAACTCACTCAGCAGCCTACATTAGTTACCTACTATCCCTACCTGTTTCTCGTCCTCGTACGTACGGATCGTAAATAGTAATTTTTATTTTATTTTATTAATTAAATTATATAATATTTTTTATTTTATTTTTATAAAATATTTGTTTTATTTTATTTCATTCTATTCCGTAAACTATACGTGCCAATAGTCTTATTATCTTCCTCTATGCTTTTGTTTTGCATTATTATCTAAGAGTCAATCTTATAAATCATTATGGAATTATGCTTAATTTTTCATTTTCTTTTATTATCTCGGTGAACCTCACTTAATTATATAATTTAATTTTGAATTTATATTTGATATATTATCTATGTATAGCACTTATTAAGTTATACACTATCACCTCAAAAGTTATTTAAAATAAATATTTTTAGAATTATGAGTATTTTTTTTAGAATTCTTAATTTTTAAATTTATTTATTAATGAAGTGACAATATGTAGTTTGCTGATAATATATAAAATTTATACATTGACAATGTATAAAAAATAAACTCTTTAATTCATAGATTTATAGTTAATATGCCATCAATATATAAATTTACAAATTATCAATGAATCAAATCATATCTTATCGTTAATAAATAAATTTAAAAGTTAAAAATTTTAAAAAAAAATATTTATAATTTTTCAAAATTTCTTTAACTTTTATTCTGCACGTTTATAATATGGCACTTTGTGATTAAATGATTTACTTCTCATTTGACTTTTTAAACCAAAAATCTAAGACAAAGAAAGATTGGTAATAAAAAGAAAAAGTAATAGTGTAAATTGTTGTACCACACTTTTTTTTGTAGCACTTAATTGCTTCTTGCTGTCATGCAACAACAATTTTCTTTTCTGTGCTTAAAGTCATGCAACCAGTTCAATGTATCTTTACATATATATTAAATTAATACCCAAAGTCATTTTTTAAAAAAAAAATTACAATGTCAAGTCAAGTGTGAACAAAATCTCAAAACCAATTTTTAAAATAGAGTCTTTATTCAATGAAACTTTAAGAAGGTTTCATATTCTTTTATTATATTAAAAAACTCTTAATTTGTTAACTCAATACTAATTGATATTTTATTTTCATATAATGTATGATATAACTTGATGATGTGATCATATGACAATTATTTATTCATAGCGTATGTTGATGACATGATTACTTCAACTGCCATATGATCACATAATATGTTATACAAACAAAAAAAAAATCGATTAACATTAGATTTGATAATTGTTGAATTTTTCAATATAGATTAAAGCTTGTGACTTGTGAGTACAAAAAAAGTTTTTATTATACAAATCAAAAGATAAAAATTTCTTTGAATACAATAAAAATATAAGTTTTTGATTACATAAATCAAATATAATTCAAGATATTTAAACCCAATTTAAATAAGACACAAATGTTTAGGTAGATATGGCATCAAAATCAAGCAAGCTGCTTCCAAACCTGCCCATGTGTGCCATAAGCTTAAGTCAAACTCTGAATTTTCTGTCTCAGCTTGGATTTGTTACTTGTATTTCTAGAGTTAAAAGTTGGCTAGCTATCTTCCTTCAATCAAGGCCTAATTCTTGGAATGTTTTGGCTTTTGTTTACTATTTTCTACTCATTGGAATAGTTTATCCAACATAAATATCTTCATCAAAGTAAGTAAACTACATGTTTGAGTTTACTTGTGAACTAATGTCTCTATTTTTTTCAAAAGGGCAAGTTGAAGTTGAAAGTTGTAGTTAGAAAAAACAATATTTTTAGTCCTTGTAATAAATTAGAGGTCAAAAATTAAAATTTTAAATTCGAGCTATTTTCATAATAAAATTTATTTTTTAAAATTTAAAAGTATAAAATGATATCGTCTTTGAGTTATTAGTTACAATATAATATATTTTTATAATAAAATTACCTTTCAAAATTGAAAGATAAGTAACATGACACCAGCAATCATTTTTGAATTATTCATCAAAACTCAAAGTTATTTTACATTCAAAATTGATCCTTGAAATGCAAGTAATTTCTTTTTTATGATAAAATATCTCGATGTCTTTTAAGTATTAGTCAAAATTTTAAATAAGTCTATTAGTTTTTAAAATACACATTCCATCTCAAAAATATAAATACGGTTAAGAAGATTTAAAAAATTAAAATGCCTTTTTTTATTAATTTAAAAAATTATTATTATATTTTTACTATTTTTTTTTAAAAAAAATTCTCTCCAAGAAAAGAGAGCACCCGCCAGTGCTCCCAAGGGAGGGGTGGTGATCTGGTGCTCCCTTGAGAGTCTCGATCGGGCTTCCCAGGGAAGCACCGGTGCTCCCTGGGAGTTTGATCGGGGCTCCCTAAGAGAGCTCTAGTGCTCCTCTTCTTAGGAGTTTTTTTTTAAAAAAATTAATAAATAAATAATAAAATAATATTAAAATTATATAATAATAATTTTAAAAATTAATTAAAAATAAAATTATCTTTTCACTTTTGTTACGTTAGTAGTTGGTTAATGATTGGATTTATATGTCCAACGAAAAATATATTTTTCAAATTAAATGTTTATTTTAAAAGTTAATAAATTTTTATATAATTTAAATCAAAATTTAAAAAATTAAAATATTTTACATTTTTTTTTTGACCCTTTTACCCAGTTTATAGCAGGGCAAGAATTTGAGGACCTGAACGTTTCTATTTAGCAAAAGTATTGAAAAAGCAATCTCACAGCCAATCTCAGTTATCCAATGATTCTGGTCATCATTAGTCATCCAATAGTTCACGAACTTGGGTGATTTAGCTTCTTTTTTTTTTTTTTTGACAAATTTTATTAGGATTTGAAGTTTGTGCTTCAAATTCAATCCTCCAGATTACGGTTTTGAAAGATACCCAACTTCTAGTCTTATCAGCAAGCTATAGCGCAAATGTGCACCACAAAATGCTAATCAAAGTCATTGCCATGTTCCTTTCAAGTGATGTTTTCACTTTTTCTATTCCAAAAAGAAAGATTCGAATATAATTATTTGAGTAGAAAGATACATGTATTTATCAATGATCGATGAAGTGTTAAGAGGCCAAGCCTATATCCAACAGAGGAGTCATTGTCCAACCTTTAATAGGGTAACCAGATATTGCATGGCTAACCACTTGCTTTACACTTTACAACCTTCATCCGATGTACTTGCCATTTATGGCAACATTATTGTAAGTTTAGCAATGTTGGGTGAGACAGTGCTGGGATCACGTTCCTTAACCTTTGTCTTATTGCTGATTTATCGACCATCCCCCCACATGCTTAACGTAGTTTTTACGCGTTCCAATGCTTCATTAAATTTCAGATGCCTGCCAGTAGGCATCCCTATCTGCAAGGGAAAATCATAAGTCATATCTGTGCAACAACATTTCATCAATGCACACCTCCTAAATTAAGATTCATACCATCAATCTTGAATATCTCCATCACAACAGAAATGTTCAAATGTAATCAACAGAAGAATAGGACATAAAACCAGAAATGACAACTTCACTTTTCATTTCTAAATGAAAAAAAGTTACAAAGAAAAATCCTTGCCATTATTGGTCAGGGCAATATTCTTTATTGATAAAAGAATTCTTTCTAAATTCCGATGCTTGGAAGCAGTTATATGTTCATCCTATGGATGTATAAAATTAGTAATGACTCATAAATGATAGGGAGCTTGTACAAAATTTTCGACTGAATTACTTGTAATACTTTCATCCCGGAAAATTCCATCTAGTTCCTAACAATTCATTGTAATTCACATTCTCCTTCTGTAAATTACCTCAATGCGCTGCCTTAACCCAAGAGGTAGCCACCTAGAGCAATAACTTAACCAAGTTGCTCCATTGCTTTGGTGCTGTTGACATATGTCGCGCTTTTATTAAAACCTTCAAGTGAAAGAATCCGGACAGCCTCTATTCCATGTTGAAATGTAAACTCCAGCTGAAAAGACAAAGACATTACCATAAAGCGGTTAAAAAAACTATTACCAATTTCTTTACTTTTTCTTCTCTACAGTTGCAGTGTTATTAGTTTTTACATACCTCTTCACGTTCTTGCTTATTGAAAGGGCGAAGGACAAAATTAACAGCATCCATCCTCCCAGGGGGCCGTCCAATGCCTAGAAAAGTTCCACAACTTTAACAACCAGCATCTAAGGAAATTAGCAGCGTTTCAGATATTATTTTAGTGTTCTTAGCAACATACCTATTCTTAGACGAGGAAAGTCACGACTCCCTTTGAAATGATCTATGATACTTCTCATCCTAGAAGAAAAGGAAAAAACAAAAAAAACTATCTTACAGCCTTTCATTACACTGAAAACATATTTACTTTTATGGGCTTAAAAAACTCATAAAAAAGAAATTGCTTTATTGCAGGTAACTGATGTAAAAAGCTCCAGAACTGAAGGTCATGCCATGGTATCATTTAAGACTGATAAAATAACGAAGGCCAAACATCTTAAGGATGATGGTTTAAAACCTTACTTTCCATTTATTTTCTGTCACACCATAATGTCAGATAAAGTGATCAAATTACAGTTAAAAAAGCAATTGTCAAAATTCGTAGCCATCTTTTGAAGAACCAATGCAACAAAATGGTAAATAATACTAGCAAAAGTGCATATTTAGTTTGCATCCATTATCTTCGGACTAAATGCTGAGGATAGTGACAAGTGTGATAAATAAAAGATTTATAACCAAAACTTAAATTGAAACATTAATGCTGATATAAGCTCATGTCAAAATTTGTTAACAAGATATATACCCATTATGTCCTCCATGCCCGCCTTTTGGAAGTAGTCTCAATTTGGCAAAAGGTAAATCTAAATCATCAAAAATCTGTAAAAGAGAACAGATAGTAAGGAAATGGAGGGAAAGATAAGGATTCAAGTCCCAGTAAAGAAAGAGAATTACCACAAGTACTTGCTTCAATGGAATCTTGTAATACGAGACAATGGCCCCAACCTTCAACATGTATTGAGAAACCACGCAATGATTATTAGAACTATAGAAATTTCAATCAGATGAGAAACTTTGACCCTCAATACTATATATAGGTCCTTTGAGATGGCTCACTTACAGACTCACCACTTGAGTTCATGAAAGTTTGTGGTTTGGCAAGCATGACCGGAACATTTCCAATAAATCCTGGAAAACAGTAACTATCTCCCATTAACTATTGCAATGCTGGGACATTTACAATTACTATAACTATTGTAATATACCCAAATCTTTCACTGAACTCAATAAAACTTTTTCCTTTTCATTTACTGGCCATGAACTCATTTATCTATATCCAAGATATACATATATTTGATGGAACTTGTATACAATATTAATCATCAACTATGCTTAGAAAATAGACTGTGCCAAGCAGGCTATCTTCGCATATGTCTCCGTCTTTGAAGTTCAAGAGGAAAGGTTGATGCTTCAAGCAAAGCTGCAGAAACTTAGGTTAAAGAAGCTTTTTGACATGGTTCATATCATGCATTTAATGCAATTTTCAAGAAAAGATGAAAGAAGATGTGAACTAAGAATCCACAGCTTCTACTCTCTGCCACAATTCAAATCAAAGGTAAACTGAAGAGTAGAATCATGATTAAATAAGTTTCCATCATCTAGGCACTCTTTTTTGTATTCGTATCCCTTTAATTTGGTATTAATATCTTAATCACATATTCATATTAAACATAGCAGTTTAGGAAACAGTCAGTTAAAAGATTCAATTACATAGCAACTGTCGCAAAAAATTAGTCAAACAAAAAACTAACCATCCTAGTAAGCTAATGCAGTAAGCATTTCATTACATTACAGCGTATTAATTACCAAATATACCCTTCAAAGCTGCAACATTCTAGTCTTCAATGGTAGACGACCAGAAGTAACTCAATCTCAAAAGAAACTACTAGTCCACAATCGAAAGTCCAATGCTAATTCTATGCAGAACTAAGAGATTACATTCAAGCAAAAAGCCATGGTAATTATATTTTCGTGATAACAGGTATGCAAGACTTCAACGCATATTTACTAAATGAAGTCCATGAATTTAACATCAATCAAAGTAATTCAAAGATTGAACAAAGCTAAAGTAAAGAGAATACCTTTTCCAAAGAGGGCTTTAAAGTTAACGGTGTTAATGGGAATCCCTTCAGCCTCAGCTATAGCATCTACCATCTCAAAACCCACCTGTTTGGAAAAACCCAAAAACAGAAATCACTAAAAAAATAAATAAATAAATTCGTTAAAGCAAAAATCAAAACGAGGACGTATTTCAAGAATGTATTGATACGTTGTGGCGAGTGCCATTGTATTTCTTGCCGGGATTACCGAGACCGACGATAAGCCATGGCCGCTGCGGCGGCGGAGTTGGCTTGGGCTTGGGTGGCGCCACCTGGGAGTCCTCCGCCGTATTGGCGGGAGAAGAATTTGTGTTTTTTATAGAAAAATTAGGGAATTGAGTCATTGCTCTGTTGGATGTGGTGGAAAATTTGAATGAAGGAAAGAAAGAGGAAGGATAAGATTTAACGAATGTGGTATTAAAATTTGGAAATCGAATGCTGGAGATTGATGAACTTAATTTCATGATTTTCCTTTTTTTAATAAAAAATATATAATGATTTGGGGGTTAGGGTTTAGGAAGGAGAGGGGAAGAAGAGGGAGACTTTTATTCAAGTTTCTTTTTCATTTTCATTTTAAAATTTTTTTATAAAATAAGAAAAAGAGAAAGTACGCCGTTGCCGGGGATCGAACCCGGG